CCAGCGGCCTTGTTGTTCTTTAGCGAATGGATTGCGAGTTTGACTTCTTCTACCGTTGGTTCTGCATCAGACATCGACACCGTAGGAGGGTCGATGGTGGGCGGCGCTGCAGCCGGACCTTGGGGCGGATCGCGATTGTAGAGTTCATTGAAGTATTTTTTCCACCGTTGCAGGTGCTCCGCAGTTGACTTTACAAACAAGCCATCCACCTTCCTGATGTTATCATTCATCATCTTGAACTTGCCACTGAGACTACGTATGGTCTGGTACAACACCCTGTAGTCTTGTCGTTTGGCCGTATTTTCAAGTTCCTCAGTGACTTTGTTCCAATACGCCTCACGGTCTGCTTTCATCTTCACACGCACCTCACGGTTTAGCCGACGATACTTTTCAAAGTTGGTTAGCTTGGCCTTCTTGCGTTCCATGACCAGGTCGAGACACTCGTCCGAGATCCACGGTTGTGTGCGACGCCGGCGGGTGGGCACAGCGGCTTGGCGCAGTCCAAGATGGCTTCCGATATTGTTTGCTCTTCTTTGTTGGCATCGTTGCTCAGGGGGAGGAGGGCGAAGCGGTTCGATAACGCAATCTGGAATTCTTGACGGCGGTCATTGTTGTTGAGGTGATGCCAGCCCAGCCTGGTTGGTTTGGGTATCGGCTTCTTTGCTCGTTGGAGCTTCAGGCGCACTCTGGCACGGACAAGATAGTGATCAGAGCCGCAGTCGGGTCCGCGCATTGCCCGGACATCTTGCAAGGATGATCGGAACCAGGTGTTGATGAGCACATAGTCGAGCAGCGCCGAGTCGTTTCCTCTTGGGTTGCGCCATGTCAGACGGTGCTTGAGCGAGTGTTGGAATAGCGTGTTCCCGAGGACCAGTTTGTTGGCGGCGGCGAATGACAGCAATCGTAGCCCGTTGTCATTCATTTTTGCATGGCCGAACTTTCCCATCGTCGATTCCCAGCCAGTGCGGTCTTCTCTGACGTGGGCGTCCATGTCGCCGGCGATCATGATCATACCGGTTTGAGGTAGGGAGTCCAGGACGTCTTGCAGGCAATCATAGAAATCATCTTTAGATGCGTCAGAGTTCATTTCGGTCGGTGCATAGACCGCGATGATGTGTAGCTTGATTGTACCGTTGACAGTTAGGACAGCGATACGGTCAGATATAGGTTGGAAGGCTACGACGCTCGCAGAAAACCGATGGTGTACCATGAAGCCGACTCCGGCTTCTCTTTTGTCGCCGCCCGAGTAATACAACGTCATCTTTTCGTCCATGGCCGGCACTTCGACAGAGACAGTGCCAGTTCCAGTCAGCCGAAGTTCCGATAGGGCCGTGAGACGTTGAGTTTTGAAAGTTCACGGGCGACGATCTCCTTCTGCCCAACATGGTGACCAGTTCTGACATTCCACGCTGCAATGTTGATCGGCATCTTGGGC